ATTACTACTTCGAAAAGAATACTAACGTGTGACGTTCAGCAGACCGGAGTGGATAGGTACACCTTCTTCGATGTGGGCGTCCCACACTGGAAATGAACTTCATAGAAGAATTATTCCAAGTGTGTCAGACAGCTTACATTCGTCCCCGCAGGTATCTATTTCTGGCGCATAAACTTCTCCGTAAAGCATAAAGTACGGCTTATAGAATATGTTTCTTATGAGCAACCAATGCCAGTTCTCGTATGGATAAGTTATGGACTCTCTAATTAAGCCGAAAGATAGCAGCGACACGAAGAGCATCGCTAGAATTGGAAGCATGCGAGGGATCTGTAACAGTTCTACATTTTAGACCGTTTTGGATACTGTAGCACAGGTGATTACCATTTCTGCGGCCATTGTGATGTAGGGTCCCAACTGCCTGAACACTCGCATGTAGTCCAATAGTTTCAAACACCATAGCACGGAATTGCACACAAGAAAAACGCGACCGGCCATTCTAAAATACACAGATGACTTTTTATGGGAATGATACGGGCACTGGTCTTACCTGGATGATGGATTACAACGAATGCAAAAGGATATGATATAAGTGACAGTAGCCACTAAGAGCACGCCATTGCGGTAGTTTCCAAAATACATGGTCACTTTCCTCCACATTTTCCGTTTCCGATCGATCATTATTAACATCACGAGCTAAGAAGAGCACTATAGTTAGATGGATATAATGATCTGTAGGGAGTTGCAAAAATGGCAAAGGTGTCCAACAAACTCGATTTGCTAAGCTAAGGAAGTTGCAAAATGAGTTTGTTCTTTACAGCGATTAAGTGTAAGAACTTAAACTTCCCCGTACATTGATTTGAAAAATGTAATTCGTGAAGTACGTTTGTTGATACGAGCAGATAATGCAAGAGTAGATGTAAAAAAGCTCAAATTCACCTTCCGTAAAATTTCCAGCAGCCAGACGATAACATACGAGATCAGGTACCATTCCACCCATGAGGGATATCTAAAAAACGGCTTTGGATTTTTTTGACTTGTAAAGTGAAAGGAAACGAACATTGGTGTTTTCAACAGCAGTGTGTAGCAGAGCGCAACTAGGAAAACATAGAAGCTAAGGGACCACAGCCAAAAAGTTGTGATCGGGGCCGAGTAGAACTCGCGAATCTTCCGACGCCATGAGATTGAACGTTGCTGAAAAAGTAGGCAATTGATTCTACGACTGCACAAGGATAGCACCCTGATAGCGCGTTGATCAATCGATATCCAGCAACTGGCACAGCGCTAGCACGGCGTTGGCACAGTACTGGCACGATGTTGGCACCGCGCCCAGCACACAGGCAACCCTGGAAGCAACAGCACAAAGTGAATGTTCAGATCTCACCGTGCTTCTGGCTGGATCGCGGTCGCGAGCGGTAATATCTGTGCTTTCTTTTTGCTTGTCCTCGATCTTTTCATCGCCTGGATGATGCACGTAGAATGTCGAGTGTCTCTTCGTTGAGCGACGACGAGTTCGTGCTAAAAACAGTCTTCGGTCTGAGTTTTCCACCGATTTTTTTGCTTTGTTACAACCTCTTGGTCTACCAACGCTAGAGTCGCTGTCTTTCTTCGACCTTCTTCTTTTGTTCGACAATGATATGGTTCTTGCTCGGGCTCCTGTGATCATTTCAATATTTGAGAATGCAGATACCATTAGGTGATTATGAGTTGAAGCGCAAACAAGATACTAACTTTCTTGTGAAGTGATGATTGTTCCATTGCCGTTAGGAATTCGATCTTTTCCAAGCGAGAAACGGATTTTGTCACCCACAAGCTAGGAAATTGCGAGTTTTTACTCATATCAGTGTGTAATATCAGAAGAAAGATATACCTGTTGTATATTCAATGGTAACGAATCCTTTTCGCTTCCAGCACGTTGTTTTGGACCTTTTTCATGATGAGCATCCTATCAGTGTTTTTTTT